GAAAACGACGCACGCCTCCGTTGATTAGTTCCAGCTAATCCTTATTAACCCCTTGAAACCTCTAAACGCCCTTTCAATATTGAAGGTGACCATGGGGATTGAAAGCTCCCTCCGATGAAGTCGCTAAATCATGCCCTGTAGCTTCTGGCACAAGCACGGTATCGGAATAACGGCAAAACGACGGTTCAGGTCAGGCAACAACAACAAATGCTATGGCCATGAACAAGAACTATCGAGGGACATAAATGCAATCTGGAAAGATGTTCCCGTAGGCAAAGCAATGCTAGGCAGCTCGAACGTTCGATCTTTACAGAGGCCGTGTCGAATCATTGGCAAGTTCGGGTTTTCAATGCACAAATCCAATTTTGGGTAGTCTTCAAGTTCCGCAGCTGCCGCTCTTGCCACAACTACATCCAGTTTTACATCGCTATATCTATCCGCTAATGCTAAAGTATCCATCTATGCTCATTCGGAACACACTTTCCTCCACAATATCATGTTATAGAACCATGACATCTGGCAGTATCTACTATGTGGAATAACCGTCTTTTCCTCGTGGGCAAAGAAACTCAATCCACGGCTCAAGCTATCTACTATCTGAAATGAGGAAGAGGGGAACGGAGGTACGTGCAGACGTGCGCCAACGAACTGCCCCAGTGGCACTGGTAGTACTAGCCACTAAGCCTTAACTACCACCTGAGCTCATCAATCGAGGACCACCCGATCTTGCAGCCGTAAGAGCGGTAGAAAGCTATGATCTGATTAACGAAATATGTGGGTCGTGAACTTGAGACTTGTAACAATGATACTCATTTGGTACTAGGTATGTACCTCACTGCTTGAACCAGGTTTAAAAGGACCCGTCCTTGAGGTGGAATTCCTCAGGCCGGTCCTCTACACAAAACACACACTCTTCACATCATCTCGACTACCAGCACTCTCCTCAGTGACCATGAAGTTCTTCACCATCCTCTCTGCTCTTCTCATTGCTGTTGTCTCTGTCAACGCTGTCGCCCCGGACGCCGACAGTGCCTGTCGTTGTCCCAAGAACTGCTCCCATAAGAATGGCAGCTCATGCAAGTTTTACCAGGATGGTAACGTCTTGGACGGATGTCGGTGACTTTATAGTTAAATGAGAAGATTGAACTGATGATTACCCTCCATAGCTTGCGGTAACGGCAACGGTGGTCTTACTTGCCACGTCTGAGGTCCAATTTAGCTATTATCTAGAACCGTCACTGGGGTAAATTGTCTATGCATAGAAGGCTTTTACATTCGTTCTGACAATCATCTTGTTAGATAATGAATGTTCTTCCAACGAGCCAAGAGATAGAGTTTAGGGGTTTCGCATTCATCTTCTTGTCCACATCATGTAAACGGGGTTGTATTGTTGTGTGACACAATTTTAGCACATTGATTTGACCAGTGAGATTTGATGAGACTTTGCTATAGGAAAACTACAGTCCCTGTCGTAGGGGGCAAAGCGTGAAATATCAGTCAGATCAGACCCTCAGACTGGTCCTAGAGCTAGTTCAGTGGGAATGGACACTTAGCACAGAAGGAACGGGACAAATAAAGAAAAAACAAACATAACAGACAAGGACAGAGACAACGTACGCTAATGACAGCAGCAACAGAAAAACATAAGTATATACATACACAAGAGCACAAAAGAAAGTAACGAACAGTAGGCACAGAGGAAGGTGAAGTGAAGATCAGTACGCATGAAAATAACTCGTATGAACAGTAGATACGTAGCACATGCACCTATTCGTGGCTTTGAAAAAATGCAAACAGGCAAAACGGCAGCAAAGAAATTTAGAAAAAACACCTATGTAACCCATATGTACCACAAAGTACCACAAAGTATACAATGGCTGGATGAAAAATAAAGAGAGTGACTGAAAAAACCGTTTCGATAGAGAGAAAGTATAGACAAAGAACTTGATAAAGAAAAGAAGTGGGCTATAGGTGGTCACGATTGTGGGGTAAAGAGGGACAGACACGATACGAGGGATACAAGCAAGTAAACGAACGAGAGTGAACATACGATAAAAGGAACGGTAGTAGAATACATTCGACGTACACCCCAAAGTACAAATATCACTTGACATCGGGACCGTTTTATTCAGATTCTCCTTTCCTGACCCTTATTCTTTCACGAAAATGGTAAATATCCATGCTCGTCTTTTGACGACGACGACGTTTCCCTTGGAGGCTTGACCCGGAACTCGGCCATGATGCATATATGACTGCGATAACGAATTGAGGTAGTTAGTAATAGAGTCAGAGGAAAAAGAGCCAAGAAAAAACAGAGAACCAAAAGAACAAACAAAAAGGACTCACTCTGAGGGAAAATGAACATTCGGAAATCCCACACATTTACTCATATACACCGGATCGACTTGACCCAGGACGGCGTTCACTCCGAGGCTGGAATTAGAGTACCAGATGTAGTCGAGAACACCGCTGAACGAGGACACGTAGTTGGTCGTTGGAAGGAGTTCAGGTGAAGGAGAGGAGGTGGAAGATCTTAAAAGAGAAGTGGATGTATGGGCGAGAGAAGTGGAAGCAGGAGTCGATAACAGATTATTCGATGCACCAGCCGCAGGAGTAGAACCCGGTGTCCTCGTTCCCGAAACCGGCAGTGCTTGTTGCTGCTGTTGGTGCAGCGATTGCGGTGCTCTGGAATGTGCACCATGAACACCATGTGCCGGCGCCGCATATGCGCTTTTCAGCCCTAACCAGCTCTTCAAGCCATCCGCGCTCCCTCCTGCCGAGCCGGGGCCTGAACCTGCACCCCCAGTATACTTCCCATACACATGCCCCATGAAATCCGGATGGTCCTTTCTCAGCGTACCCGTCGACAGAAACTCGTACACACCGGAGCCTGGAATGGAATTGAAATCGCCGCAGAAAATGAGAGGGATTTGCGAGGCAGATGTGTATGTCGGTGGTTTGGGACGTTGACGACGTGTAGAAGGCTTTGACGAGGGAGAGTCAGGAGGTGATGATGATGACGACGAAGGTGGTAAGGATGACGAGGGTAAGGATGAAGTGGTAGGGAAAGGAGAGGATAGCTCTGATGATGATGAAAACGAGGAATCGGCAATGCCATCGATACTATCAACGTTCCCATTTGCCGTTTCCGGCTCAGGCCACAACCTCGGTGGCAACTTCACGAATCTCTCCGCCATCTTCTCCACCTCCTCAACCATCAATGCGACATGTACTAGCTTCACATCACAGAACTTGGGATCCCACAATATATGCACATTCGCAACCAGCACCCTCGAGCCCGTTTCCCTATTCTCAAATGCACACGCAGTCGCAATATGGTCTTTCCCTAACACCCTATTGAACATATCTTCCGTCTTCTTGAAATCTTCTCTCTGCATCGCAACCGCACTAAACTCGATAAGGTGTTTCTCGATAAGTTGGTACTTGTCTGCACGGAAGAACGTCGCCAATCCATCGACGAACCGCCGCTCGTTCTCGTTAGACATCGTCTTGGCACGGGATTTCGGCCAATAGACAGATTCGTAACCGGCTTCGGAGAGGTGTTTGAGGAAAAAGTCTTCGTAGGAAGTCACGTCGACTTCTTGGAGACAAATGAAATCAGCTCCATGAGCGAGAATTTCGGAGAGAATGAGTTCCCGACGGTAGTCCCAGGCCAACGCCCAGGAGGGAGTGTATCCGTATAGACGCACGGTGGCAGCGCGCTGGCAGAGGATATTGTAGCATACGACGGAGATGGTCTCTGTCGATGGTGACAGCGCTTCTTGTTCAACTGGTGTGATGAGCGGTATCCACGCTCGATTCTGGGGTGGCGCCGAAACCGGACACGAATCCCGCAGAAATGCTATCAAGGCGGGAGTACCGTCCTTGGTGATGAGGTTTTTGAGGTTGGTGTCCAAAGGATTGCCTTCGACACCGAGAGTCTGTAACTGATGCAAAGTTCCAAACTCTGGTGGAATCGTCATAATCTGATTATCAAACAGATAGAACTCTTTCATGGACACCAGCATGCCCAATTCCGGAGGCAACGTTGTCAATGCATTCCCAGATAAATCCAGCAGCTCCAGATTTCGCAGCTGAGCAATCTCTGGAGGGATTGCGATCAGACCGTTGTGATTTAGGTAGAGATTTGTGAGGAAATTGAAGGAGAATAAGCCAGAATTTGATGGAAGGTTCTTGATACCTACTCCGCCCATGTCTAATGACGTCCACGTTGCCTCTGACCGCGGTCTGGGTGGCTCAGCGATAGGTGCAACCGTCGACGACGGGTGGCTAGCGTTACCATTGGCCAGTGGTGGGGAGTCCGATAGTAATGGCTCTTCTGGTGGTGGTTTTGGGTTCGGGTTCGGATTGGTGATAGGGATAGCTGATTTCGCGACTGTCCGCGACGCCATTGCACTAGCTCGTGCTCGATGATGCGGAGAGCGAGATTGCCTTATGATCTGATTGTGATTATTCATTAATAGAGAGGTGCCTACGAGCGCAAATATCACTCACCTCGCATTTCAGTAACTGTTGTTGCCAATGTTGCGCTAGCGGCGCACTGGCTGGACTCCCTTGATTTATCCCTACATGGTGTTGCTGAATTGGCGGGCTGGGATAATGAGGATTGTGATGAGTATGTGTATGATTGTGATTGTGATTATGAGTGTGGTTGGTTAAGTTCTGCGGAGGTTGTTGTCCAGATAAAATCTGATGGTGAGTTAAGGGTGGCCCAAGATGACTATGTTGGTGGTGATGTTGAGGCTGGCTGTAAATTCCGTATCCAGGTGATGTCGGCGGCGGTGGCCCACCAACAGGCTGTCGAGGCCAGGACTCAGTCCCTAGTTTCTGACCTCCCGTGAAATACATCATGCATGGAAGAAAGAGTTGTATAAGGAAGGAATTGTAGTCACCGACGAATGTCACCGACGAATGACCTAATCACTAATTCCTTATTTATCCTTTGTGACAGTAGGAACTTTAAAAAGTCACACTATCACTCCGATATGGTGTAGTGGCTAACATTATCGCCTCTCATGAGAAAGTGTCGCGATAGCCCGGGGTTCGATTCCCCGTGTCGGAAGATGTATGGGTTATTTTTTCCTCAGCAATAAAAGAGATGATACAGTTCCAAGCGCAAACTGTGACCAGCTATAGCGGGTCCCAGCTGGGAGTCGATGTGGATGGGAAAGTCACGGTTGTTCTTTTTGATTCGATGCTTTCTAGATCTACATATTGCTTAATTTCAGGCGATTTTGAAGGTAACCTTTTATAGGAGCCTAATTCTAATTTTCTCCCGTTCTCGGTCCCGTTGAAATGGGACATGGTCATCGGAAAAAACATATACGTCCATTTGAGCATCTATTCAATTACTTCGATACTCTACCTTTAACTTGAGGTATCAAATGGGATACCGGAACATCAGCGTCCTCCAAACCTCATTTTTCTCTTGAAACTGCGCGCGCCTCCATTCTTTCTCTGTCCTTCCTACGTATCCATTACTATTATCTCCATTTCGACTCGAAGATTGATCAGTCTCGATGGCATCCTTTAGACTCCACGCCCGCCCAAAATCGATCAGCCTAAACCGTCTAGCGTTCCTGGACTTCATCAGCGGGAAGTCACCATGGTCACCTATCTGCATGACAATGTTCCTATGTGCGAAAGAACCGTGTGTCCACCCGTGGTGGTGCAACCGGAAGAGGAGCGCGGCGCATTCTTGTCTAGAGGTGATATTGTCGGTAAAAGTCAAATGAATTAGATAACCGCAAATGCAGCTGCACACACCTATCATCAAGAGACAGCTTCTCAACTTCGATTGGTTGGCCACAATCTTCGATTAAGAGTATAGGACTGAGAAATGAATGCCGGTCTATGACTTTTTCCTCGTTGTCGTTTGTCTTATCCTCCTCCTTAGAATAGAACCCATAGAAATTCGGCGTAATCGCCCCAGTAGGAGTCGGATCCCTTATTGGTAACGCAACTGTATACCCCGACCAATGCTGCGAAAAGTCTTCTCCGAAGCTTTGATAGCATTTCGCCTCCTTCTCAAGGTGATTGTCATCATAAACAGATAACTTAGCAATAACGGATACAGATGCGGTTGGAGGAACTGGGCCTGGGAGGGGACCGGAGATGGAAGACGTGACTGCAAGGTGAGAGCAAGGAGCAGGATCAGTTGATGATGAATCATACCAAGGTACAGTGTCGACGTGAACGGTGGGCATGGACTCGCCGGTATATTCGAGATAGTCTACCGTTTCACCGCCAACACTGTAACATGGGGTGTTTTCGTCTTCCGGTTGGCCTTCTCGAACGATGGTCATATCGATCACAGGAAGGTGTTGCTTTCTTAAGATGAAGTTCCTGCCCACAATCTCGTCCGCACGCCCAGCTCTATCAGAAGCACTGCTGGTATCACCAGCTGCGTTCGAGACCGAGTCTTCTGAAAAGATCTTCTTCGCAGCTTCCTCCACACATTTATGACAAATCACGTATTTTGAAAACACGGATCGAGGCAAATCCCACTCTGCGCGATAGACAACAGAATGATGACCTTTTCCGACGAATTCTGCAGGACTGATGAATAGGTGGGCTTCGGCAATGGACGATGGCGAGGCAGGTGGTGAAGGGACAGTCATCTTGAATGCTGTACCAGATTGTGCCGTAGACGATGATCCTATCCCTGATTCAGTGCTGTTCGGGCAATCAAGTACAATGCCAATGAGCACTGGACCGTCTTTACTGGCTGCCTCAGTTATTTTGGCTCGTTCTGCGGCGATGGAATCCTTGATAGAGGGAACAGTCAAATTGAGACTATATCTATGAGTGATATCGTCGACAGAAGTCCAGTCAACGTCTGACTCGTCAGGGGGGTCATCGCCGTTGAGAAGACGAAACGGATCATGTACGATTAATGTTTCTGGAAGTAGATGGAAAGGAATCGGCGATTGGAGGGTGGGCGCGTCGGATGAGAATGGAACGAGAGGCCAAGGATCAGGATAGTTTTCGTAGTCAAATGGACGTGGTATTGCGCTCTGAACTTGAATGTAAGTAATGATAGAGAAGAACAAATGGTGACAGCTCTATGTACATACGATGGTCTCGTTTTCGACGCTCTCTTCTTCTGTAGCTGTAGCTTCGCCATCATCATCATTATCATCATCGCGCATCGAAATTCCGCATGAGCCCATCAAAATCGCCAAATTCTTTACCCCAATGATCTCTAGAATATCAGCCGCGGGTCTTAACCTCGGTTTCTGCTCCATCTCGGCCCACTCCAATTCATCTTTAGCATAAAGCTCTCCATGGGCCTTCATCCACGCATATAGCTTACTTCCACTTGAGAATCCCAGCATCGCATCAGCACATTCGTCGTTGAAGCTTCGGAACATGTAAAAGTCCAAGGTCGTCGCACCCCAGAGGTGGTGACTGTTATTCGTTCTATACCCGGCAGAAAGCTCGCGCAAGTCGGACATTATGCACGGTTTTCCTCCTCCTTTGGGATCTCGGGGCCAAATTTTGTATATACGACGTGTATGTTTGTTAAACTCCGAGTCTTGCGAGCCTTCGTCTTTGCCGAAAAGTTCTTTGCAAATCTTAAGTGACCATTCAGAGTCCGGATCTTCATCGAACATTCCTTCTAAAGTGTCACTCGAAAAGCGAGTAGATTGGTGAGTCGATGAAGACATGATATTAGTGTATGGAGCGAGTGTATAAGTCAGGCTGAGGTTCAGTTCGAATTAGATGGATGAATGTAAAGTTAAGTAATACTTGCAAAGAGGTTTGGCTGGGCTTTAGCCCCGCGCGGGTGGGCAAATTTTGAAATATAACAGATGAATGTGTGAGATAAAGAATGCGCGGGGATTAAAGCAGTAGCATACGGCTGGGGAAACTAAGTCGGTGCGGGTGGGTGGGTAGCGAGGATTATGTGTAAATTACAATTGGCGGTGGGAGTCGGAAGTACGAAGATAGGCGCCAAACTGGCGCTGGCCGACTCACACCACCCGGCTGACTTATCCTCTGATAAGCGCCTCCTCTAGCGACTTATCTCGGAACAAGGTGGGCGAAATATAGTGATCACATGTCTGAATCGATAGGCATGCCTGACGGGTATAGCCGGAACTTGAAGAGGGATAGAAGGGGCAGGGCTCTTGTTGGACGGGGAAGCGGAAAGAGAGGCAGCAAAGATGGAGGCTGGCGAGATATCATCAACGGCGTGTCATATCCACGTTAGCTGGGAATTCCTCTGTTTTAATCGTCCAGAGTACGGTTGTATCAACCTGTAAAATATGTCGGTAACCTGTACAGACCATACATAGCGAAAGAATCTGCGTTTGCTATTTTTTACGTTCACGAACCCAGTGGTAGCGGGGGCTGGTAGCTAAGTACTAGCTATGTAGTCCTTGTCGGTGCTGTCGCACCTCCGCACAATGTGTAATTCAGCGAGAAGGAGTACTTGCATATACTTCAGCTAGCCATCATGGACTGCAATCAGGATGTGGGCTGTGACCTTGTGGGATCATAGAATCAACAGGTCCCGCACACCAGGACCCCAGATAATTAGAATAAGGGTTGTTCTCGAAATTGCTGAATTCCGGCTGAAATGTCCGAACCAAAACCAAGAATTTTTGTCAGAAAATGCCCGAAAGTCGACCAGCTGCCGGCCCCTAAGTAAATTAGCGCTCGCCGAAATGAGTTTCAAGCAAAAATGTCCGAACAACTGTGAGCACCCCACCGCCGCCAGAGGCCCTGAAATATCCAAAAAATTGTTCTAGACAAGCCGAACGCTGGGTCGATCACATTAAATAGCCAACTATGTTACTGCGTGTCCTATCAAAGTTTGCTATGAAAATTACCTCGATGTGGAGTCCTTGGCTTCTGCGTCCCCTGATCTTCAGAGTTGTCTCCTGAAAGACTGACCGCGTTGGGAGTTGATTCTGAAAAGATGTCCCACAAAACCTTCGCCGTTGCTTGAGGAGACGTTTGTATCATCTGATCAATGGAATTAAATGCGGCTCCAACAAACTATGATCCCACACTGACCATATGCCCAACATCCTCAACCCTCCTCACAGAAGTGAACACCCTCCCTTGTTCTGGATCCTCCAAGCGATCCTTCACCTCCCGCGAGAATAAATCATCAATATCACCCCACACAATGTGAATTGGTATGATTGGTTTATGGCTTCCTTTCGATTTAGATGCAGTTCTTGTACTTGCTTCGTTATCGCCTACATGAGCATTCGCACTGCACAGCAAATTCAGCTGCCATAGCCCGGGCAAACTTTGTCTTATTCCCCTCTCGTAAGCCAATGCCTCCGTTTGTCTCGTGCAACTCAGCATCACTCCTCCTTTCGCGTTACTCACCAACCCAAAGTCAACATACGCCTTTAACACCCTTGCATCCCACATCCCCCAGGGAATTTTGTTCTCCATCCATACCCTCGCTTCTTCCCTCGACGCCCAGTTGTCTTTGCGATTTGTCATGAGAAGTGATATCGCGCGATATAGAGGCGTGTGTAGGGCGGGATCAATGAATGCGGGAGTAGGCGCGATTGCGGGCTCAATTAGGACGAGAGAGTGGAAGATATTTTGAGTTTGGAGAATGGGGAGGGGGAAGAAGGTTGTTGCGAGGATGCTGGTGAGTTGTTACAGATAATCGTGTCTTAATGCGTATGGGGTAGAAGTACAACAACTCACGCAGCAGTAGCACTAGCTGAATGAGCGACCAAGGCAAACTTGTTATCTCGGTAACTAGGGTTAGAACCAAGAATGTCTCGCCTGAGGGTGACGAATGCGTCGGCATAGTCCCAAATTGCTATAATAGAGTCAGTATAGATACCCAATTTCTGTAGCAGAACAATACTTACACCAAGCCTCCGGTTTCTCTCTAGTAACCTGTTCGTTCAGCACTGCAGCTTCGCCATGATTCTGGACATCTACTGCCCAGCATTCGCGAATAGTAAGTGTTGGCGGCGTTTTTGTTGATGCAAACTCGGATTCGAGACTGTATAAGTGTTCGATTGTTGGCTCCCAGTGTTCTTTATCTGAGAATGAAGAAAACAAGAATCAAAATTAACA